GATACCTTCCTGCTGATTGTAGCCTTTAACAACTAATCTTGCCTTGTTCCTTACAATTGTGCCATGTTCATCTAGCTTATTCCTGTATACCCATTTGAGACCAATAACCTTTTGATTTGTTGGTTTGGGTTCAAGGTGCCACACTTTGTTTCTTTCGAATTCATTTAATTCCTCTTGCATGGCAACAATCCAATCAGCATCTTCCAAGGCTTCTTTGTGATTTCGAGGTTCCAGTGTTGATAAGAAGGCGTTGAATGCACAGAAGTTTCTCAGTTGGGATCTCGTCTGAGTTCCCTTGCTTAGGTCACTTATAATTTTATCCAGGGGGTGTGACCTTTGATGTTTCCATGGCTTTGGTTGGAATGATTGAGCTGGTATAAAAGTGTTATTTTGAGTTGCTCTTTCTTCCATTTCTTCATGGTGTTCTGCTTCTGCATTTGCTTCGCCTTCTGTATTTTCTGTTTCTTCTGTATTTTGATCAGAGGCTTCAGTATTATTTGGAACTTCAGTAGGTTCCTTATTAGTATTTTCAGTAATTCGAACATGCTGCTTTCTGGGAATTAATTCTTCATCTTGGTCTGTTGAACGAGTGAGACCAATTTCAAAATCTCCATCTTCATATTCCTGTATACAACCATAATTATTAGTTTCATCAAAAATCACATGTATACTTTCTTCTACACACATAGTCCTCTTATTGTAAACTCTATAAGCTTTACTATTAGATGCATATCCTAAAAAGACTGCTTCATCACTCCTTTCATCAAATTTTCCAAGATTTCTTTTATCATTATTGTGAACAAAACATTTGCATCCAAAAGCTCTTAAATGAGCAATATTAGGTTTTCTCCCTTTTAACAGTTCATAAGGTGTCTTGTCCAACATTGGTCTGAGCATGGCTCGGTTGACGATATAGCATGCTGTGTTGACGGCTTCTGCCCAAAAATTTCTTGGAAGCCCACTTGCTATTAGCATTGTTCTTGCCATGTCTTCCAATGTTCGGTTCTTCCTCTCAACCACACCATTTTGTTGTGGTGTTCTTGGCGCTGAGAAATTGTGACTTATTCCCTGTTCTCTGCAAAATTCATCAAACTTGGAATTTTCGAATTCCGTACCATGGTCAGTTCTCATATGAATAAGTTGATTACCTATTGATTTTTGTGTCTTTTTCAAGAAAGTCATAAACATATCAAAAGTTTCATCTTTACTATGTAAGAATATGACCCATGTAAATCTAGAATAATCATCCACAAGAACTAAGACATATCTTTTTCCACTTCTACTTTGAATTCTAACGGGGCCACACAAATCCATATGAATGAGTTCCAATGGTTTTGTGGTGCTTACCATTTTCTTTGATTTAAATGATGATCGAACATGCTTTCCTTTGATGCAGGCTTCACAAATTTTGTCATTTAGGAATTTGATAGAAGGTAATCCGATTACCAAGTCCTTTGACCTTAATTTGTCAAGCAATGAAAGACTAGCATGTCCAAAACGTTTATGCCATAGAAGTGGATCATCCTCAATAACACTTAAACAAGATAGATTGTATTTTGGAACTTTGTTAAGGTCCACGGTATATGTGTTCCCTTTACGAGTTCCTTCCAAAACGATTTTACCAGTGTTATTGTTGATGATTTTGCATTTTTCAGAAGAAAAGCTTACAAAGTTTCCTTTATCACAAAACTGAGAAATACTGAGTAGATTATGCTTCAAACCCTCGACTAAAAATACATTGTCAATTGCATGGGAACTTGACCTTCCTACTTTGCCAACAGCAACAATGTTGCCTTTCTTATTGTCTCCAAAGGTCACTGTTCCCCCTGTATAGGCCGTCAGTGAGAGAAATCTGGATTCATCTCCTGTCATGTGCTTAGAACAACCGCTATCGAGGTACCACTGGTTGTTCCCCCTCACTTCGACCTGCAAAAGAAATTAAGAGTTAGTAGTAGGAACCCTTTCATTCATGGGTTCCTGTGTTGACACATTTAAATCAGATTTCTTCTGCCAAACATAATTCACATTCTTATTGTACAGATTTGCTTTCTTAGTACATTCTTCACTGCGATGTTCCTTTTTACCACAGAAAGAACAAACGGTCTCACTAGGTAAGTTCACATATTTCTTTTTCTTTCCAGTGGACTTCTTCTTATGAACATAGCCTAGACCTTCTGTTCTTTTTGTCTGAGCTTCCTTTACCCACTTGGGAACACCCGTGCTTGCTGTATTTTTACTTTTTCTTGCAATTTCTAGGTCCTTTTCTAGTTTCTCATTTTTATCATTGGTTTCCTTTATCTCTTTCTTAACATGCTCTAGTTCATTATTAAACATGATTAAAGGAACTTCAGTAGACCTGCAAGAATCAATGTTAGTACACAACATTTTATATTGAGTCAATTCAATATTCAGCATGATATTCTCACTCTTGACTCTTTCAAGGGATTCTTTTAGCATAATATTTTTATCTAACAATTCAAAGAATCTGCCTTGAACATCATTTCTTAAGCTATTCAGATACTTAACATGATCTCTACAAATTCCAGTTGCCTTTTCGGCTTGCCTTAGTTTTGCACATAATTCTTTATATTCATCTAAGGTTTCTAACAATAAAGAGATTAATTTATCCTTTGAGAGAGATTTCAAATAACTAGGTTGAATGACTACCTCATCATCATGCTTTGCCATTAGACAGAGATTGGCTACTTCATCGTCTGTGTGTTCCTGTTCCTCTTCTTCGGAACTTGATTCTCCCCACGTGGAAATCATTGCTTTCCTGAAATTTGTTTTAGAAAAGTTAGGCTTGGAATTTCTGCTTTGATCAGCTTCTTTTCCCTTGCCTTTCTCAGATTCCCATAATGGACACTCTTTGATGAAGTGGTTGGTGCTTCCACATTTGTGACAAGAAGACTTGGCTTTGGGTTCCTGATTTCTTTTACTGTATCCTTTCTTCTTGTCTAAAAACTTGTTGTTACGGTAGAATTTTTTCAGCCTTCTCACCAACATTGCAGCTTCTTCTTCATCGATGTCAGACTTCTCTTCGGATTCTTCATTAGCTCTTAATGCTAGCCCTTGACTTTTGACAGTCTCCTGAGTCCGATTGTTCGACTGGATCTCGTGAGTAATGAGGGAACCCGCAAGCTGTTCCAGATTGAACTTGGTGAAGTCTTTTGATTCCTGCACCGCTGCAACCTTTGCTCTCCATCTGTCATTGTCTGGAAGACTTCTTAAGACTTTTCTGACCTGCTCATCTATAGGAATTATCTTACCAAGACACGTTAGTTCGTTAGTAATACTTTTAAATCGAGTAAACATGTCTTTAATGGATTCTTTGTTTCCCATTTCAAAGCGCTCATACTGAGATAAAAGAATATCTATTTTGGAACGTTTAACATCTGACGTTCCTTCATGTGTAACTTCCAGAAGATCCCAAATTTCCTTTGCGGATTTGCACCCTTTGACACGAGTATGTTCATCGGGTCCAAGTCCCCAAATTAGAAACTTTTTGGCAGTAGCATTCATTTCTAATTTTTCGAAATCAGTTTTTTCATATTCATCCATAGGTTTAGGGATTACCTCATTGTTAGCATTCGTTTTCGTAATTTCGTAATCTCCTACTTGTATAATCCGCCATACCTGATAATTCTCTGCTTGGATGAAGATTTCCATCTTATCCTTCCAATAAGGATAATATTTGCCGTTGAAGTATGGAGGCCTTTGAATGGATGTACTCCCGAATTCCTTTTCCTCTGTGTAAGCCATTTTCCCAGGAACTTACTCAACAGGGTTGCCTGCGTGCTCTGAGTTCCCGCTCTGATACCAACTGAAAGTCTAACTGGCTAATACAAGAGGGGGGGTGAATTGTATTTGAGGTGAAATCTAAAAACTTTTTGCGGAATTTAACTAAATGAAATAGTGACGAGAGAAGATATAGGCTTTTCTAAATTTCCACTAAGTAATCAAACTCTTTACAAGTGAAGATTCAAACCCGTTAACAAGTTCCACAAATTAGGAACTTGTTCCCAACTCTCACAGAAGACTTCAGCAACGAAGCTTCCTTGACCTCACTTTACAAACTCACAATCCCAACCCCTAAGTACTTGAATACAATCTGTGATTACAAATACCTATTGCACTCAAGAATATATGAAGGAAAATAACTCTCTTTATGTTATTAGATGGCTACTGGAATTTTTATGCTCAAGAGTTGTGTTTTACTGAGATAGTTTGCATGAGTATTTATAGAGAAGGCTTAGTCATTAACCTCCACCATAATCACGTCCACATGTCAACAACCCACTAACAACTTGTGGAGTTATCTTGACAGATTGTGATCATGAAGAGGTTTCCTAGCCTTATCTAATTAAACCACTATCCTAACAACTTGATAACCATTAGCCGTATAAAAGATTTTCTCACAGAAAAACCACTTGCTAACTTTATCAAATATTTATTTAAAAGATTATCAAAAGTTTGTTTAAAAAGATTTTATTTGAAAAGATAAATTTATTATTTATTAAAACAACTAGATAATTATCTTCGATAATTATCTTTATTAAAACTTTTACAAATTATCTTTTCTTTAAGAAATTATCTTTTAAAACTAACTTTTATTCCAGTAGTCTTTAACATAAGTCATTGAGTTCCTTTCCGACTTTATATTATTGAGTGCTCACAATTAAAACTAGAACGTGAGATTTGCACGAGGCTTTTTAAAGAATGCTACTCCGCATCCAAGTTCCTACTCCGGAACGAACTTTGCTTGAATCCTTTATTCACCAAAGACTCAAAACATTCATTAGTCGAGTTTGTCAATTTGTCCATCAAAACCAAAAGGCTCAACAACAACTCTCGAAGGGCTTCGTTCCCACAGATTGATAACATGTAATCAGCTGCATCCACCTTAAAAAGCTTCCTCAATGCTCTAGTAAAGATTGAATAGTCAGGCTCTAATAAAATGGTCAGATTATACAAAGATTCAGAGTTATAAGATGAATCCATTAAGCTAACCTGAATACTAAAGGGCAATAGTCTTTCCACTTAAATTCACAGGAACTATGTGGAGGAGTATACTTGGAGCCTTCTGATGGAAGCTTTGTCCACACTTTTTCCTTGGGATCAAAAGCGGACGACCTCAGATCAAGGGATGTTGGTGGAGCAGGTCTACCAACAGCATGCCTGCAAAATCACTCTCAGAATTTATCATCAGTATGCCAAATCAGTACACAGTGGCTAGTCCGAAAAGAAAAGATGACTAGATAAGCCAACTAGTCAGGTCAAGGGATATAGTAAGAACGAAGTAGATGAGGCTCGAGCTTACTAGAGCCAAATAAGGTGCATTAACAGGCTAACATGGTTACAATATGCTGAAAGTAGTCAATAAATGAAACTAAAATGGGGCAAAAAGAGGCGAAAAGTACCTGATTCCTAACTGTAGATTAAGCATAAGCTCAAAGTTTTTATGACCTCTAGTAATAATCTCTCCTTGTTTCTTCCCTACTTTCAGTATCCTAAGTGGTTTCCCTGGAGTCCCAGGTGGTGCCATCTTAAAACTAGTCCAATTTTCAAGACTTAAACCATCCAAATCACCATCTTTTCCACTGTCAGAATTCCTTCTGTTACTACAATCACTTGAAAAACTTCCTTCTGACTCCAACATGTGTCCACCAGGAGTCATTCTCGAGTCAACTGACATTCGTGCAGGCCTACTCCTTGGATCCGTTCCTTTGGGTGACTTCCATGCCGCGAGCTTCTTCTGCGATGGAAAAACAGTAATCTTTTCAGTTGCACATACCTTACACCCACTCAAAATATCATTATACAACTCTTGAGGATCCCAATTTTCCTGATCTAACAGTTCAGGTTCAGGACAATGATAAGTCCCAAGCATCTCTTTCGGGTCTCCACTCCAATACCCCTCATAGTAACATCCATTATCCCATTTGTATATACCGTCTCCTGCAGGCAAAGAATCAACCCAGTTCCCCTTGAAGCAGTCTCCATTAGCCCAAATCATCACCAGGACCCGAAATCACCCCATTCTTCCATTCTCCTACGAAACAAGTCCCATTGCTCCACTGATATTTCCCCTGCCCTTCTTGCACACCATGCCTCCATTCTCCATCATAAAAGTCCCCATTCTCATACGTCATAACACCATAACCATGCTTCATGTTCATCACCCAAAAACCTTTATACGCCTCCCCTTCAGAGCCGGTATAAGTACCTTTCCCATCCATATAACCGCTCTTAAACTCACCTTCATACACAGCCCCTGAAGGCCAACTAAACCTACCTTTCCCTATGGCTTGGCCTCGAAACCACTCCCCTACGTAAATACACCCATCAGTCCACAAGTACTTCCCATGTCCATGGGGGAAATACTCGAACCATTGTCCCACATAATAATCTCCATTCGGAAGAAACTTCTCCACCGGTACAGGCTCAATGTTGTCACTTCCATGGTTTTTGTTGTGTCCATCATCAAAGATAATATGACCATGATCATCAAAGAAATCTTCGTGCACATGGGCCATAGACGTCGAGCCAAATATGCTATGTGCTCGTTTCTTTGCAGCAGCTTGTGTTTTTCGCAATGTTGCCTCCCATGCTTTCGCCATTCCACAAGATTTGGTAATGATCTCTGCTTATTTTGGGTTAGAAATAGAATCTATTCTAGGAATTTACTACTTTTCTTGTAACAAACACATAGTTTTTGTTCATTTCATCAAAGATATATAATGTTATGTACAAGTTTATCTAAGATGATCATAAAATGTTTATGTTACATATACCTGTTGTCAACCATTAATCTTCCTGAGAAATTCCCACTTGTAAAAAATCATCAAATCTTCGATTTTGTACATTGCAACAGACGAATGTGATGCACTCTGCTTGTTCTCTGGAAAATCTATATGATCAAACTCTTAGATGTAAAATTAAACCAAACTAAAAAAAAAATCCTAGCGCGTATTAAAATTACTATTTAAATTTTTAGATTTTTTTATAAATGTTTTTCCTAGATAATTTAGGCTAATCTTGTTTTAATTTGTTTTGGTTCTAACACACAAGTGAATGGAAAATTTTCCTACAAAATAGTGGTTGCAAAAATTACCATTCGCCAAAAGCGGAGGAAATTGCTAATCTACAAATGACAAGAAGAAGAGTTTTTCTAACAATGAGCTACAACTGCTAATGCCCACAAAACAAGCAAGAAATGAACGGACACTCAGTAATATTTTTTGCCATTTTAAGAACTTGGTATCCCTATAAACTAGGAGATGTGTGATAATCCTCGTTGACGAATTGAAATTATGTGAGATATATTAACACCTTCATATGCTAAATTGTTAATGCTATATATTGTTATTTGTGGAGGATTATAACAATTTATATGAGATATTTTGACCTACAAACTTTTAAATTTAAGCAATGAATAGTTTGATTTTAAATCATATATCATGAAATTAAATAAATATAAACAAAACAAAATTTCCTAGAAGAATGAACACCCTAAATTGGAAATAAGGACATTAATAGTTGTTTTATAATTTTGTGTGATTAGTGTTAAGAAATTTAGTAAGTTGTATTGTTTAAACTCAATTATTATGTTGGTTAATAACGCAACCTAATTCTTCCAAAAAAAAAAAAAAAAAAAAAAAAAATAACGCAACCTAATTCTTCCAAAAAAAAAAATAAAAAAAAAATAACGCAACCTAATATTATTTGTTGGACGAGACAAATTATTATTTTGTTTATAATGTTGGTTATAATTGGATACAAATCTTACAATTATATGGATGTTAAATGGGCTTGGTTAAATTTTTTTCATTGATACAACGTATTAAAGATTTGAGATTGAATTATGTTCGTATTATTTGTCATTTATATCTCTCTACACAAATTGTTCGTCATTTATATCTCTCTCTACACAAATTGTTCGTCCAACTCATGAGAGTATTAGGATAAAATAATCTTCAGGATTGAAGCCTACGTACTCTTCCTCTCTATTGCTTACTTCATCTCTCGTTCCCATCAAGCATTCAAGTAATAATTAGCGAATTATAATCAAATGTGGATTTTGTCAAGAAAATTACTAATCCACTCTTCTGTGCAAAGGTTACACAATTTAAATTAAGCTAGCTTTAATGCGAGGGAGTATGTACTACAACGAACTCTACTTGGATAATTTGGCTTTTGCATGCCTAATCCTAATAATTTCTCAACGTACAATTTGGCTTTTGCATGCCTAATCCTATTTCTCAACGTTTAGGGGACTAATGATCAATAGTTCTACCCACAAGTCATTCAAATTGAGTGAAAGGTTATATTAGATCAAGGTCCGTCAAAGCAGTGATGCATTGTAGACTTTTGGTAGACTTTGCACAATCGGATGTAAATATGTAATGTACAACATTTTTACAGGCGCTTTGTTAATAAATTAAAATAAGGATGACAATTTATTTCTTTTTTTTTTTTTTTTTGTCCGGACAAATTCTTTATTTCTTGACTTACATATGCACAAGTGTTTTGTTTGACGCATTTATCTCTTGTGCCGGAAACGTTTTCTTCATTGTGCAGTTTCAATGTCTACTTTCACAGGCAGAAAAGAAAATTTTGTAATTCTCGCGTCAATAATAATATTTAGCCCAAATATATACAAAGTATCTTCTTCCCTCCATAAGTCTTTAGAGGTGGCTTAAAGGGGAAATTGAAAATTACAGGGGAAAAAACATGGCTTTAAGATGAAGGGTATGGTGAACATGCTCCTGGACACCTAAATATGATTAAGCTCTCACTCTTGTCCCCCTAAATTGTGGATAATTCCATCACATAATAATGCTATCTCAAATGAGTACAGTTTCATTCCAATATGAGTAATCGAAAGTACTCGTATGTATGAAAAAAATCCTAGCAACACCAACAAATATAGCTCCAGACAGTATTTAAGACCAGTAACAGAGACCAGCAATGAGGATTAACTGCACAAGTCAGATCATTAGCCATACCCAGAGTCTCACCTCAGTCATTCTAGAACCACATTACATAACAATGCACGGTACAAATTTGCTCATATTGCTTCTATATGTGCAAAGATTTTGATCTAAAAATACCACAATTAAGATGATGAATAAATAATCCAATTCCCGCTTACTCAAACAAACTGGTCGTAGCAGCATATAGCTATCAATGAAAAGGAAGGTGAGAAACAGATAATAACAAGCAAATGGAGTACAATTTCAATCAATAGTAGTAAAAATCCTGCAATACTATAAAAGCTAATTTGCCCACAATGGGCAAAACAGCAGCAAACAAGCCAAGTCTTGAAAAAAAAAAAAACAAACCAAGTCTGGAAAACATAAAACAAAGTCTGGTCTAAGGAACATACTCCAGTGACCAGTTATTACTAAGAGTACTCCCCACAGGCTAAAAATGCCATAACGCGATAGTAGACCTGGGGTTATCTCAACTATTACTAATATAAGCATTGTGCATAATCTTTTGCTTCAAAAAACAGATGAAATTTAATATGTAGAAACTTAAGGCTGCCCAAAAGCAATTGCCCAGATACCATCACTTAAATCAGCTTCCTCAACTGATTTTATTGATGGTTTTTGCAATGCCTACTAACATCCCGTATTTGCATATCATCGATCCAAGGCCTAGTAGTGTAAGCTAATACTTATCGAGCATAAAAAGCCGATCCAACCACATCCCGATCTAAAGAGACATGCCCCCATCCATTCAGGCAGAATAGCACTAACCCTTTAGATTTCCAATGCAGTCCCCCCTACTCGTCCATTGACTCCATCCATCCCATCCTGGATACCTCGGCACCTGCAGAAACAATTATGACTTTGTGAGTGCACTTAATTGATACAGACCTTTCAGTTTATAATCACATATAACCTAGCTGGACAGCCCACCTAAAAACAAAATTCTAAAAAGCCAATATCATAATCACCACCTTGTTGACAAAAATTCCCTAAAAATGATTTGTCCTCAACCATCAAACACTAAAGCAACTTGGACTCAAGGATACACATCAAATGCAACCATGCATGTGCACATCCAAGTGTGCCCCATCTTTAAATTGCAAAATAGGTGGTGGTCAGACCTGTATTATAGGTTCCTGTAATATAGAATTGACACTAACACAAACATGGGAAGGTATTTAGGAGTATCAAACTTGTAAAATTAAGAAGCACAGAACTTTATCAATGCGTATGATCCAAGGTCTGTCAAAGATATATCGTATTAAGGGTAGAAAAGTATGGAGTAAGAATGGGATGGACGTGAAAGAAAATGGTCAATGAAGTAAAAAGCGTGACCAGAAAGGTGTAGATATTATGAGATTAAGGGCGGGATGAGGGGTAAGGCGTTCAAATGATACAAGGTCTGTCAAAGATATACTATATCAAGGGTGAAAAGTATGAAAGAATGAGTAAGATAGGGCATGGGCATGAAAAAAAGAAAAGGTTGATGAAGTAAAAGGAGTGATCCGAAAGGTGTAAACATTGTGAGGTGAAGCTAGGGAGGGAGGGGGTAAGATGATAATATGGGGTTGCTATAAATAAAATATAAAAGTGAGTCAAACTCTTGCAACACTCCAAGTGAAAAATAAGCTCAACAGTCCAAAATAAAGGGAGTGTGATTCCCTATGCTACTTCAATCACCCGAACTGGTATTGAACACTAAACGCTTCAAAAAGGGTTATGGAATCCTTAGCCAACACTTCATAGCTCTCAGACACTTGAATATAATTGAACCACATAACCATAGAAGAAAAAAAAAAGAATATATGCCATATGTGACCTCAAAAAGTGAGCCAAATACATTGAAATTTATGTAAATTTCTAAACACAATAATTAACTAAACTTATGCCATGGTTCCACACATATAATTTTAGGACGCTATCCCCACGTCTGAAATGTATAACCTTGAAATGTCAACACTTGGATAAATACCAAAATCCGACATTCGTTCTAACTAACCAAAAGTAGTTCCACTAGGTACTGGCATGCATTTCATGGCCAAAAACCTAAACATTGTAGTGACAGGAATGATAATGAAACTACAGCACATTCCTCAATTGAATCAAACCAAAAACAATAAAATAGACTGAGTAAAACTTATGACACCTAAAAGTCGATTCTACCCATTCAATGCCATGTCAATCCTAAAATTTGCCAAAATAAACTTTTAGTCCCACTATTGAGTTAACATCTTCCAATTGGGGGGATGTCCCGCAACTTAATTGGACATATAATTTCATGCACTAGCCCTAAACTTATTGCACTGATCTGAATATTTTAATTGTGAATAATCCTTTAATAAACTTAACTTATATATCAAAGAGGGAAAGAAATTAATTGGCAAGGCAGTAAGTTACAACAAATGTACTTCATTTGCAAGTAAACCAGCAGAAATCCAAAGGGGTAAATTCAAAAATAGATCTGTATGACAAGTCAAATTCTTATCAAGCCCACAGATCAAAGGGCAGAGGATGAATATTCAAAACAAAAATTAACATATTCGCCAATGATAGATCCTAGATTTCACACCCAAGCCTTCAACATTGATCAAATTACTCACAGCCAAAAACTTCCAAATTTTTGCGTTTATTAATAGTTCGTGCTATCATTTATGGGACTAAGGCTTTGTTGCGTGCTACAGCCTTAAAATAAATCCATCTATATAGATAATTAGAGTGGTGTGAGAAAGGGGAAGAAGAAGGAAAAAAAAAAAAAACCTTGTAATGCCAGACAAAAGTATTGACCAAATTGGCGGCTTATATAAAAACATATTACATTAGAGACAGATGATATATACCTGTTTCAATAGCAGGGGCCTGCAACACTCCCAAGATCACTCAAGCTTCAACAAAAACTTAATATCAATGCAGGACCAAAGCAGCGCAGAAACTTTAGCATCTGCCTGTGGATAATCACCTCAGTGGATTCTTCACAAAGAAGACTAGTCAGTAAATCTTCACCTCACAATGATTGATCCATACAAAAACTGGAAAACTGAGATAAGTTAACAGACCTTCTAAAGCCTTTGACATAGTTTTCACACCAGAAAACGACCTTCCCACAGAGATTGGCCTTGAAACTGTGGTGTAAATGGAATTGCCTTCTGATTTCCTAGCTGCTGTTGTTGCTCGCAGAGATTCAGCTGATCAGGAAATTGGAAGTCTTGCCAGTGTCTATTGTTCTCAACTGGGGTTTGGATTACTGAAGCCTGTTTTCCAGGAAAAGGAAAGCTAATTGCCCCTGGCGAGTCATTCCACTTGCTAACATGACTATATAAAGACCCATTAAAATTGGTGCAGAGGTCAAACCCTGTGTCTTGCTTTGTTGAGGATGGCATCTGATATCCATCAAGCCAGCTATAATCATCCATCATTGGGTTTCCATCCTTCACACTTGGCTCATGCTGAGGTTCAATAGCATATTTAGGAGTAGCAGGTGTAAAACCTGGTGGAGGGCCTATGCGTCTGATTGGCCGACTAACTGGATTTTTTTGAGAACCAACTGGAAAGACTGACTGGGGCTTGATGATAGTGGAAATGTTCAAGTCAGGCCCAGACGATATAATAAAGTCAGTTTTAGATGGCATGACAGCTTCTGAAACCTGCACTGGGTAACCATTACTAGTATTGGAATTGACAGCATGCGAAAACGGAAGTGATAGGGCAGCAGATTGCAAAGGAGTGAAATGTTCTGAAGGCTTTTGGTTCATTATATGCCCATTACCCATCAAACTCAGATTCCTAAATCCATTTAACACAGAAGCCCGCTGCTCAGGCAACCAGCCAGAACTAGGAAGTTGCGTAGGTTGCACATGTTGGGAGGACGCATTAGCAACAGACATGGATGACCTCAACATTGCATCAAGACCATTCTGAACAATTCCATTGGTAAAAACTCCATTAAGAAGGTTTCCATTTGGTGATGCTGACACAGGTCGATTAAAAACTACCGAATTTCCACCAGACACATTAGAAACAAGCCCAAGATCCTCACAAGAAGTCAAAGCTGGATACCCAACATCAACTTGCTTATCTGCAGCTGAAGGCTTAAAAACAATAACCTCTTCTTCATCATCAACCTCGGCCACCTTCACTGGTCCCAAAGCTCTCGGACTTGATTTCTTTTCACCTGATAATTCTTGGCCCATGACATTTGACATCAATGTTTCAGGTGAGGATTCAAGACATAATTGTGCCTCAGCACCAAAAATGAATTTCTTCAAGTCAGGATCAAAATAAACACCCTGCTGCTCAACCCGAACAACATTAGCAAAGACCTTGCCAGCAGCTATTATCCTCTGGACACGAGTTGTTTTCTCCTTAGTTCCACCATCACTACCATTCCCAAATGTATGCTTCCTAGAGAAGTCAAGGATTTGATGTGCAGGGTGGAGGGGCAGAAATCCCCTCAACTCAAAGTCTTCCCATAGAGCAAGGCGATTGGATGTTTCACCTTCTTCATACTTGCTCATGTTGGAAAAGCATGTCTCATCTTCATCAGTAGAAAGCAGCCCACTTGACAGAAGCTTGTTGAACAAGGTTATACAGGAATTCCAAAAGAAAATTCTAGCATTAGCTTGAATTTCCCCTGCTTCGCTGCAAGTCGCAACATCTGGATGGCAAGCTAACCATTCCACAAAGACTAAAATTCCAGGCATTAGATAACATGATAAAGGATCGCATAACTGCAAGCATCGCTCAATAATATGTCCCATAAACTCAAAAACAGCAGTATACGCATTCTGCAGGAGGACCGAACGCTGTAGGATTTCAGCATATGACTGATTCTCAGATTCTCTTTTCACATTGTGTACCGTAAATATAAGAATTGCCACCAGCCTGACAATAACAAGCCCACATTCAGCAGCATCTGACCCAAAATTGTATTGGTCTTCCAGGCCAGACGAAAGAAGCACAAGAAAATCGTTCTTGGCCATTGATAACACGTCTGCAAAGGTTTCCAGACTGGACACATAAGCAGTAAAAGTTAAATACAAATCATTAATACAAGAGAAGATCAAACTAAATTACTATATATGAAAGTAATGATACCTCGTGCGAGTGAACAATATGCCATTCACTCTGACAAACTTAATGCAGAATGCTTTCAAAGTTTCAGGAATACTAGGGGCCTTTTCTTTACTTGGACTGGTTTGGCGTCTGTTTTCTTTCGACAAAGCCCCCCTACCATCACCTCTTCCTTTCCCTTTTCCAGACATCCGTGAGGTGGCTGCTTTTACTATTGGAGTTTTAGACTCCCCTAGAAGTTGTGTATAATTCTGACGATTCTGCCACAGAAAACAAAAAAATGTTGTTACAATTATTGTCGCACGTCATATTAAGATTGTAGACTTCAAGGCATAAACAATTTCCTCATACACAAAAAATAAGGATAATAATACAGAAGCAAGAAAATAAAGTAAGCATCAAAACAAAAGGGCAGCATGCATCTTCTGTGTATAAGAAGTTGACACAAGCTTTATAAATTTTCAATCATGACACTGTCTAGTGTCTACAATGCTAAGTCTTAACTAAGAAAGCAACTTTAAACACAGCATCAAAGTGATTTCAAACATATTAGCATGCAAAAGCCATATATGAACACCAACAAAATCATATAGGAATCTCCCAAACAAAAATCATGCTGCAAAATAGTCATCACGATAATCAGCTATATTATATACTAACATTTGCCACAGTACACTTAACTGATCAAGTAAACAGTCTACTTTGTCCCAAAAAGTAGTGAGTTCATCACAACAGAGATAAAAAGTGTCCAAATTTTCACAAAATCAGATCTTAATTTCTCTCCTGCCTATCATGGTGGTATACATTACAAATTCAAAAGCCAGTTCACTGCCACCTCACCTGTAAAACTTCTACCCTACTGACCAACGTCTATACTCACTAACCAAAAACATTAATCCCCCTCCAAGGATGCTAAATGTGCTCTGAGCCTCTGAATCAAACTCTCCAAGGTCAAACTTTGACGACTAATTTCATAGTATAGATATGGGACAATGATATTCTCAGTATGATTCAATAATAAATTGAGAGAAAACAAATATCAATGTTTTAGCTTGAAAAAAGATAGATATCATACATATGAATGGAGTGAATAACTAAATTCAATTGAAAAATTGGAGAGAGAAATCATTGATATAAACATTAGAGAAATAATTAGACTTTTCACATGCAATCTATTGACAAGGTTTTCCAAATCCCCCTTGCCCTCCCTCCTCAAGCAACACTTACTATTTCAATCAATTTTGTAGCATAAATGTATGCAAGACAAGGTTATAAAACACCCAAGAGGGGGACAGGGATTGAGCATATGCACAGGTATCAACTGTTAAGTGATAGTATTGGTTATAACAATTGCTTGAAGATGGATTCTCACAAATTTTGTCCAAGTAAATGGGCTTAAATTAGAACACTTTACTGTTAGCATGATGCATTGGAAAACAATTACTGTTCAGGTCAAGGAGAATTTGTTCAAAAGTAAAACTATGAGCATTATGTAATTGGAGTCTCAAAAGACCACAATCATTTTCAAGCTTTACAGCTTCACTGGGTTAAGAAGGGGACATGAGAATCAATTCAAAGGGGAAGAGTTGGTTCTTTGATAATCACAATGAGGTAAGACACAATGCTTCAACAAAACTTTTTCCTATACTCTTGAAATAGGGGTCCTGCTATACTAAATCAGAAATCGAGCTATAACCTCAAAAGGCCAAAGGTTATGGCTTTTACAATTTGTAATTTCCTTCCATGCTAGCTAAGAAGTATTGTTAGACCTTACACCCATTCATAGTCATCCAAAGTCCCAAACAACAAATGCTTAAGGAAAAAACAGGATAAGATATGATCAAGTTTATTAAGCTTTAGTACATAGAAGTTGCAAAGAACCACCCCCTCCTCCTAAACACAGAAGTGGATAAAGCTGAAAGAACATAGCAGGAGTCTCATCATCTAATTACTTACCCTCTCAAATGCAATGATAAGATTGTCCCTTGCGGTTGTAAAAGGGCTTTCAACAGCCAAACTCCGAAAATAGCGGTAAGTTGCAGCCAATTCATCGCCATGATATGCAGCCACTATAGCAAGCTAAAAAAAACAGCAAATATAAAATGAAGGGTCATGCAACAGAAAACAGACCATTTCAAATGACTTGTCTACAGCAAAAAAAATAGCGAACACCAATAAGAAATACCTGGTGGTGTGGATTACCACCAGACGGCCACAGAGAAGATGCTTGCACATAATAGCTAGAAGCTGCAGCAAAGTCTCGAGTTTTGGAATCACCATCCCCATAGAGACCTTTATAGCGAGCAAGATCACCAAGGTAAATCAAGCACCGGTGGCAAGAAATCAAGCCTTTCTTTATATCAGCGATTTTTTGTCCATCTTTTGAGAGCAAAATCTGATCATCAGGATCATCTGAGAAATAATCAAGAGATAGGCCATATTTTGCCCTTATTTTCAACATGAGCTCATGATAGAATCCTGTTGCCTCTGACAGAAATGTTTTAAATTGAGAGCGTATTCTAGCCAGTCGATCAGGACGCGCAGGGCCACCATTTCCGTTTTGGGCAGCAGAAGAAACCTTTGCAGAAGAAGCTGCATTATAGAGTGCCCGTAGCTCTTCTATTCGCCGGTAATGCAACTGCCATAAAGCAAGCTCAATTTCAAGCTGCTCAGAGAAGGAAAGATCTTCCAGTATTATGGCTTCATAGTTTTCTCGCAGTTGTTGCCATACATTAGGATCTGAAGGAACTCTTGCATGTGCAGATTTACGTCGGGTATTTTCCAGCTCGACATTCTGCACAGCATCAATTCACAAACAAAAAAAAAATCATATTTGTCATGCTGCAATTTGGATGTCTTAAAAACAACACCAAAATCCACACAAACTATAAAAGTTGAGCCGACAAACAACAGTGCCACACATTGTTAGAATTTAAGAGACTGACAATTAGGCAGAACTGAATAAGATGTGACAATGCAAACAAGAAGGTAATAACGAAAAGTTGAACACAGTAAACCATCCAATGAGCAACACTAGGCTTGGTAGCACATCACATCATAAATATAACATCAATAAGAACCCGGGAAACACATACTCAACCAAAAGACATCCCACGCAAGATCACGGCAAAGACAGACTTTATGTAAGCAATATCCATAACACAATTACAGCCATTCCACCACCAAACCATCACCCCAATGCATCTAACAAGGCTCTCGGTCTAGTCTTGGGGCAAGCAAGGTCATTCAAATTCCGATGATTACTAAACCGATGTTCCCCTAAACCATTCTCATACAACCAAGTTCCTACGTACTCCAACATAAACCATTCTCATTCAAACACAATCCCATAAACCATTCTCATACAAATTCCACAACAACCAAGTTCCTATGTACTGCAACATAATCATGGAAGACTTATATCTATATTTACGACGAAATCGATAAATTAAAGGCAAAAGATGAAGATAACACAAGATTTCGAACACAGAATGAAAATCATACATTATTGTAAAGACGCTGAGCACGCTCCCTAGGAGAAATTACTGAAGGTTTATCCATCTGAACAGCCATTTTCCATCAATTGCAAGCAAGAAAACTGCACTATTTCATCAGGAGCAATCCACAACATTTAAAATCCTTCAAAAAAAAACGATCAAAAATCACTAAAATTCGCAACGGAAAAAACAAAATTACACGCAAAATTACAAAAATTCATACATGCTAGAATAATTCAATTCCAAAAATAATCATCGCAAATTAAAGATCCATGAAAAAACCCTAGATCTGTGAAATTAAAGGTGAAATAGAGAAAAACTTACAAAATCGAAAGAAAAAGGATGGAAGAAATTAGGGCTTTTGCTGAGAAAATTCTGGAAGGATGAAGAAATTGTGAAAGAATGTCATCGATTAAGGAAGAAGAAATTGGTGCGAAATTGTGTTTTTTCCCCCAAACAGTTTAGAGAGACAGAGAGGAGAGAGAAACTGGGGACGGGAAGCCGACGAGTTCGCACGAAATAAGAGGGAGAGAGAGGGCTTAATACGTTTGTTTTACCATCATATAAAAAATATTTTGCTACTTTGTACTTTGGTTAATAATGTTTTTTTTTTTCTTTTTTTACTTGTCAAAAAAAAAATGCTTTTTTTATACGTTAATGATATTAATTTGATTTAGTGATTGAAATTAATGACATTGTTTCAAAAAAAAAAATATTAATTACATGGACATAGTTAGTCAATGTTCCAATTTCGTCAAACAAAAGAAAATATTAACTACAAATTAATACTCCCTCCGTCCATAATATATTACCTCCATTACAGGTTATGTGCAAGTGTACAACAATTAGACATTTTTCCTCTTTGCTCTATGTCAAATCGTTGCACATAACCTTTAACGGAGGTAGTAGTTCCTATTTTGAAAAACCAAAATGTTGTTCCTATTTTTATTTTTGGATTTTATGTAAATACTATTATACCCTTATTTTTGAAACTCTATTCATTGTACTTTCTAATTTCACAATTAGTTATTAACATCCAATTTACATTAAACTATTGTAAATCGCCTCTTGCTCTAAGCATAAATGTTTCCATTTTGATTTACACGTGCATGCTTCATTGCTTACAAATAAAAACCAACATTTTCTCTCTCCTCCTCATTCATTCACAAAGTTCTTTCTCTATCTTCTTCCATAATTGACAATTCTCTCTATTCAACCTGGTTACTCGTTCTTTAACTGCGATTATTTCTCTTCTCTTTCACTTGTGAAGTTGTTATTTGCAAAATTAAGGTTTGTTTACTTAATTTTATGAGATTTTTGTTAGTTTTAGTTGTTTTGATTCTTCGATTTTTAGTTTTTTTTTATTTATTTTGTTCTTGTTTTTGTTTTTTGTAGTGTTTGATTCTGCAATGGTGAAGAAGAAGAGTACAAAGAAGTCGTCAGAATATATGAAGTCGGAAGAAGGTAAAGTGAGCTCTAACTCGTCATCGTCATCGTCCTCGCGTTGCTCAGTGAGATGGTCGGAAATGGTGGAATCGACGATGGTTTCAACGGCGACTTTTGATTTGATTGAGTGATTGTACAGTTTTTTCATGACTATGATTAATTTTGTGTTTATTTTTGTTGATTTTGATACTCTGTTTTGCATATGTAGCTTAATTAATTTTGTGAAAAAAGGTCACTTTAGTGAAAATATGGGTCACGTTTGTAAAAGAAAAAAGGTCACTTTTATGTAAAAAAAAGAGTCACTTTTGTGAAAATATGGGTCATGTTTATAAAAGAAAAAGGGTCACTTTTGTATGGAAAAAGAGTCACTTTTAAAAAAATGTTCGATGTACAATAAAAATATTGTAAACCGGGGGCATGCAAAAGTTTTTGTTCTAATTTACCCTTGAATTTTGCACATGCCTTGTACTTTTTCCACTTTTTCTCTTTAACTTTTGTCTATGATTGTAATTTTCACTTTTCTTAACGAACTTCATCCACTTTCTACTCCTATATTCTTAAATACCGTGAAAAAACACAAATAAGAACTATATTATAGGAATGAGGTAGTATTTATTTATAACCAGCAAAGTTATAAGTTCTTGTGGTTTTGTTTGGTTTTGAGCTAGCATGCTCTCTTTGATTGCCCATGGGTGAGCGATCTTTGGGTTGAGTGTGGTTGTGAACCTATGGTAGGTAAGGGTGGCAATTCGGGTCAATGGGTCAGGCTCCGGTCAGATTTTGGATTGGTTTTCGGGTTATGCTTAGAAACTATCAAAAATAGTGTAAATCTTAATGTTATTTTGAAATATGAAATTTGGGTGAAATCGGGTCGAATTCGGGTTGTTCAGGTTTCTTTTAGTAACTTCGGATCAGGTTCGGGTCGGGTTATTGGGTTGGGTCAGGGATTGCCAGCCTTCGGCAGGTTGAAGGAACTGTGATTTAATGAGTGAGCCTTAGTACTCAGGCGATGCTATCATGGGCCTTTGTCCATTCGAGGCGTCCCGAGGACGTGAGCCATTGGATATAGCTATGGTTGAAGGTAAATTTGCAAATTTTCTCACCATTTCAACCTTGCCTTTTATGCTATACATTATACAAGTATGTTATATCATGTTAGATGATTACGATGGTTTCACTGTTATATGTTTGTTAGTTTCACTGTTTTATGCTATATACTTGGTATACATTATTATACAATTATGTTATACTTCGTATTATGCTAGATGATGATGCATGGTTTTACACTTTCACTGTTGTATGATGGTTTCATTATTTGATGATATACATTATACAAGTATGTTATATTATGTTAGATGATGATGATGGTTTCACTGTTATATGATGGTTATATATATGTGATAAGGATTGACATATTATCCTCCTTAATTAAGGACCTGTTCTCTTGCGTTGAAATTCAGTTCAGTTCATTTCAGTTCAGTTCAGCTGAGTTCAGTCAATGAGAACAGACCTTAATTATCTCCTATACAATTACTCCCTAGTGACCCTAGATTAAGGTGTACTATGTATGTATACTAGTAACGTAATGAAGGAAATTATCAATGATTCAAAACATTCTCTATATATATGTATGGCATCAGACTTTTGATCCTATTTTCCTTCTTCTCCACTTCTCTTCTACATAAAATATATGGCAACCTACCCTCCCTCAGTCCTTCTTACTATACCAACCCTCTAACGTAATGAACAATAGCATATTATCACAGCAAGTTATGTGCCTTGAATTTGTTGTTTCATGGATACTAAGTTAAAATCTTACAAGCTTCATATTTCTCACAGAAGACATGCTAAATTTCTGAATTTTTCTCTCCAAATTATTCAACATCATACAACACAATCAAGGTAAATGAATAAAAACTCAGTGTACACCGTGTATATAAGGAAAAGGAATAGAGCTAAAACTTGGGCCAAAACCATATAGGAGGAGAACACTTGGAATTTGTATCAATGCCTTCATAAATCTTTTTTATTTCCCGTGATGTCATGTCAAATACACCCATATCATGACCACGAGTCACTGTCATTTCCCAATCAAGGGATTAATGACTGATTTAATTTTTGTAATCCCAACAGTCAAAAAAGAATAATCCCAACAAACAAAAAGGAATATTCTGTTTAACGAAGAAAGGGAAATAAAATTTCTCAAAAAAATAACAAGGACCCACGCATCGAATTACCCAAGACCCAGCTTGGTGCGCGTGTGTGTGGAGTAACACTTACCTCCCACTCACTCAACTAAGTACTACAATAAAAAAAAACAAGAAAAAACCTTTCCCCTCCACTAATGTGGGATTTTTCTCCTTTCATTTGTTTTCCCCTCTCTCTTGTTTTTCCCCAACTCTCTTATTTTATATCAAGAACTTCCAACATTATTTTCTTGGAAAATTTGCAAATTACAGCCATTTAAAGTTCGTATTTTGCAAATTGCAGCCATTTAATTTTTTTTTTTTTGCAAATTGCTGCCTAAAAGTTCGTATAAATTGTAAATTGCAGCCCAATTTAATTTTTTCATCGATTTACATGTTGAAAAATCTTCGGTTAAGGTTTTAGGGGTCATTTTAGCCCATAAGGGCACGAATTGAGCTCGGAATTAGCAAAAAAACAACGTAAGTATCTCGTTTTGCGTAACAAAAATGTATCGATTTGTGGAAAACTGTAAATATAAGACACTTACGTTATTTTTTTGCTGATTCCGAGCTCAATTCGCTCCCCTAAGAACTAAAATGACCCCTAAAACCTTAACCGAAGATTTTTCAACATGTAATCCAATGAAAAAATTGAATCGGGCTGCAATTTACAATTTATACGAACTTTTAGGCTGCAATTTGCCAAAAAAAAATAAATTAAAATGGCTGCAATTTGCAAAATACGAACTTTAAATGGCTGCAATTTGCAAATTTTCCTATTTTCTTCTGTTCTTCGTTCATCTCTTTCTTTCTGACGTATTACTGCTTTCATGTGCCTCAATTCTTCTTTTTTTGATTCAATCGCTCCATCAATTTCTGGGTATAAATCTTCTTCTTTGTCAGTTTTATAAATACTTTCAATTTTCTGGGTTTTTCATCATAAAACACGAAAATTTCTGGGGATTTCCTATTAATTATTCAATTTTTCGATAGAATTTGTTGCAAATTTCACAAATTCAATGCTTTAACTTTCTAGGTATTTCAATATTAACCCTATTTTCCCACCAATTCAATCAACCTCTAATCGACAAATCACTGCTTCAATTCGCTTCATGACCTTTTGATCTGATAATCTTGACCTTTCTGGAGTTTTAATCAATTTTACAAATCCAATTGTTGGGTATTTGAAGATTTGGGGTTTTCTTCTGCGTTTTCCGATCTTTGTCGCAAATGCGGGCATTGGTTTGGGTTGTTCATCGTTCAAAGTTCTTGCATTCTTGGCTGATTTAGTGGTTTATTTTCTGGGCTTTCATTCAGTTCGTTTCTAGGTCTTTGCATCAATTACTGGGTATTGTGAAAAAATTTCGCCCACATTTTTTGGTGACTCCTCTGTTTGTTGCTGCTATTCTCTGCTCTTTGGGTATTCAGTAGCATCTCGGAACCGTCGCATTTGAGGTTTTTTTCTGGTTATTTTTCTCTTGTAGTACTTGGTGGGTTTATAATGATGATTGGTTTGTTGAGAAGTATATAGGTTGTTTGCTAGTTAGTTGATTTGTGTTGTTGTGATATTGGAGATTAATGGGTGGTGCTATTATTCTTGTTGTTGTCGTTGAATCTAAGCAATATGATGTTGGTTGTGTTGGTCATTTGATGATTTGTGTTCTTAGTTTGCTGATGTATGTTGTGGCTGTGGATTGGTTGTTGATGGTTAGTATATTGTTGCACTAAAATTGAAGGTTGTCCAGTGTTGATATTGTTATGCTTATTGTTGTTGGTTGATGTTTGGCAGTAGTTTGTTGCTCACAATATTGTTGTTGGTGTTGTTTCTGAGTTGCTTTCTGTATGAAAATTTATGTTGGTTGTGTGTTGATTGACTGATGATGGTTTGGAGTATATGGGTGTTTCTATTAATGGAATATATGGGTAGTTTGTTGGCTTGATTGGTGGTTTTCATGATGTAGACATTGGATAATTGAAGAATGATGGAATAGTTGTTGTGCTG